ATTTGTTGAATGTAAAACTGATGATGTGCCCTGTAAACTTTCACTCAATCCACAATAAAAATCTTTAAAAAGAAAAAAGAAAGAACAAATGGTATTGCAAGAAGAAATCCACTGAAGGCTTTGATGAAAAACAAGCCTCCAGGAATGGATGGGAAAAAAATAGAAATATTTCAACAAACTGATGCAGTGCTGGAGGTACTCCCTTGTGTATGCCAAGAAATTTGGAAGACTTGGACAACTGTTTAGAAGAGATCCATATTTGTGCCCATTCCAAAGAAAGGGTGACCCAGTGGAATGCATAAATCATTGAACAATATCATTAACATCACATGCAAGTAAAATTTTGCTGAAGATAATCGACAGGGAACTGCCCCAAATTCAAGTCAGATTCAGAAAAGGATGTAGAATGAAGGATATCATTGCTGACATCACATGCATCTTCGCTGAAAGCAGAGAATACTAGAAAGTTTTTTACTTGTGCTTTACTAACTATGAAAAAGCATTCAGCTGTGCGGATCATAACAAACTATGGATAACATTACAAAGAATGGGAATTCCACTTAATTTTGCTCATGAGCAATCTGTATATAGACCAAGAGGCAGTGGTTTGAACAGAATAACGTGATACTAAATGGTTTAAAATCAGGAAAGGTGTGCATCACTATTGTATCCCTTAAACATACTTATTTAATCTATATCTAAGCAAATATGAGAATTGGATTATATGAAGAATAATATGGCATCTGGATTGCAGGAAGGCATATTAACAAGCTGTGATATATAGAGAGGACACAACTTTGCTTAGTGGAAGCGAAGAGGACTTAAAATACTTACTGATGAAGATCAAAGAATACAAGTTTCAGTACAGATTGTGCCTCAGTGTAAAGAAATTGAAAATCCTCACAATCGAGTCAGTAAAAAAAATGTCATGATAAATGGAGAATAGATTGAAGTTGTCAAAGACTTAATTTTGCTTAGATCACAAGCAACACTCATGGAAGTAGTTGTCAAGAAATCAAACAACATACTGCATTGAGCAAAACTGCTACACAAGATTTCTTTTGAAGTATTAAAGGACAAAAATATCACTTTAAGGACTAAGATGTGCCTGATTCAAGCCATGGTATTTTCATTCATGTCATATGCATGTGACAGTAGGACAACTAATTAAGAAGACTTTCCAAGAATCAATGCATTTGAATTATTGTGTTGATGAAGAACACTTAAAGTACCATGAATTTCCAGAAAAGCAAACAAATCTCTCTTGGAAGAAGTATAGCCAGAATGCTCCTTAGAAGCCAAGATGGCAGTACTTAACGACAACAACAACATATGCATGCAAAAGCTGGCTATATAAAGAAGGAAGACTGAAGAAGTGATGTCTCTGAATTATGGCATTGGCAAAGTATATGCCATAGACTGCCAGGAGAATGAACAAATCTGTAATGGAAGAAGTAAGAATTCTCCTTAGAAACAAGAATGGCGAGACTTCATCTCATGTACTTTGGACATGTCACCAAAAGGAACCAGTCTGTGGAGGACATCATGCCTGAAACAGATCTAACATGCAATCAAGATACAAGAGTTCAAGTGAATAGAGGTAAATACTATTTACTGATGGCACATGAAGAGAACTCTAAATTATTGAAATGAAATGACATATATGATTTATTTACTGACAATCTGCTCTGTAAACCTTCACTCAATTCATAGTAAAAAGGTAAAACAAAATACTAGTAGGTGAAAGTTTGCTGAGAAATGGTATCTCCCCACAATACACTACTTAATTACAAAAGGGGAAATGGTAACTTTACAATGACAGAGCCTGGAGGACACCTTCTTAACCGAGAGGTCAAAGTTAACATCAAATGTAGTAGAACAAATAGATATTACATGCCCCTCATATGATGCACTGGGAAGTAAATATATCACTTCCATGGTGCTCCTGCCCAAAAATGCATAACCTGAATTTAGTCATGAAGAATTATGAGACAAATACATAAACACACACCTATAGAGCAATGAAGAAAATTGGCAATTGGTAATATTTTCTGTTGCTCCATATGTGTGTTTCTATGTATGTGACTCATTTCTTCATGATTAGATTCAGGTTATGGAAGTTTCTTATACTTCCTGTACTTTAAAAATTAAATCAAAGCAAAAACTTAATAAAAAGCCCCACTAAAACAAGACCACCATCTTTAGCCAGTAAATAAATTATTCTAATCACTGTATTGATCTGTTAAGCATATACATATACCTCCTGCTACATCAAGAATCAATGTCCATCACCTCCACATTCCCTGGACTTCCTCATCTTCCATTGCCTCTCATCCAAGAGCCCCACTACCCAGGTTCCTGAAGAGACTGAGTTTGTGCCTACTACTGCCTCTTTTTAAGGAGCTCTGGCAGTGTAGAGGTTATGAGTCAGGCTGCTAATGTCAAAGTCAGAAGTTTGAAACTACCAGTGGTTCTACAGAATAAAGATGAGGCTTTCTGCTCCAGTAAAGATTTACAACCTCAGAAACCCTACATGGGGTCGCTAAGAATCGTAACAGACTCCACTGCACATAACCACCAACCACTTACCACTGTTTCTTTTTATATGCTATTCCCTTCACTTCTGAGTGGCACAAACAGTTTGCACTCAGCTACTATCCAAAAGGTTGGTAGTTTGAATACATCCATCTGTGCAACAGAAGAAATGCCTGGTGATCTTTTTCCAAAAAATCAACCATTGAAATCCCTACCTCCATACACGGTAGAGTACACAGCTCTACTCTAACACACAATAAAAAACAAATGAACTTCATCTCCTACTTCACACAATACACAAAAATTAATAGGTATAAGAACTAAAATCATAAAACTTTTAGAAAGAGAGAGGGATACCTTTGAATTGGAATTGATTGGAAGGTGTTCCCTTCACTTCCCATACTCCCTTTCCTCAAGGTTCAGGTGATCTAAATCCTATATTTCTTTCAAGGCTCAACCAAGGCCATCCCACTTGGATCTTGCCCCTCTCTGAACTTCTGTGACACCTTGTGTCTCTGTCAACATGTGCAGGACCATAACTAGACACAGCCCTGTGGTGTGCACTTCAGAGGCAACAACCATGTTTTATACATTATTCATAGCCCTGCATCCACCAGCAGCAGCTCCTTGGAAACATTCTACAGGGTTTTGAGTCAGAACTTAATAACAAGGTAGACCTGCAGAGTGCTCAGAACATGGCCTCCCTAGTAATTCAAGCTTTGTACAACCACTAAGTCTATATGTGAGCCTTCCTACCTGGTTTCCAGTTTGAAGTTGTGTGACTTCAAACTGTACATTCTCTTCATCAGGAAATTCAATATCATATTCTTCCTCTGCAAGTGGGGCCAACGGAGTCCGCTCCTGCCCATCGTCCGTGACTTTTGTCCCAGAGGCCGGTGTACGAAACTCCTCCAGGACCTCTGGATTCCTTTTTATCTCTGTGACCAGGGGAATGATATCCTTGCTCTGAAAAGCAGAACCTTCGGTAGCCTCTTTTTGCTTTGCTAAGTTTTGCCTTCCACACCACTTGCAACAGAAATGCTGAAGACTATGCATTAAATAACAAAAAGCCCAGTGGACCCTATCCAGGGCCAGCTGGACTTTGGTTTTCTTGGCTCCGCCTTCTGAGTTTCCATCTTTCTCCTCATTGCTGAAGGAATTGAGCAGCAAGGCAATAAAGAGGTTAAGCACCTGGAAGGAGAAACAGAGGACAAGGAGAATGGACGTTTTAGTGAAAGAAAGGATACAACAGACTTTTAGAACAACTTTTCTCAAGACCCAAAACAGAGCCAAATGACAGCTCTATGTCTTCTGTCTCCCATTAAATTTCATCTAGAAAATAAATAGAAGACTGAAGAAGAAACAGAGACAGCAAGATAAAGTCAAAGTAAACTTAAGGAAAAGGGCACAAACCACCAAATGCAACTAATCTACATGTAAGCAACATGTTTGTGTAGACAGACCCTGGCCAGGGAGGATCAGAAGGAGGTGGCCATATGACAAAATCATTTAAGGATCAGCACGGATCATGAGCTTGAAGGTTTGTTGGAATTTTCCACAAGGATATGAATTTGGTTTCTAAGATCACTGTGTAGTCAGTCTCCTGTTTGCCCAGTTTGAGAGATGGTATGCTTCGTATGAACCCTTCAAGTCCTGATGCACTGATCACCTCAGTGAGTATTGAGGATGAGCAGAGGTGGGGACCAAATCTACAACTCCTCTATTGAATCACTTTAAATTCAGATGAACTCAACAGCTTCCTACTTGGTTTTTGTTTACTTATGCAACTACCCAATTCACACCACCACCTTGTCTAAACATCCTCTTGTTTCAGTAGCATCACTAGTGGGGGGCAGGACATGCAGACTACTACATCAGGTGACACTGTCAGAGGGGTGACACCAATTTGGCTGTTGATACCATTTTAGTGCAGTGCTTCAGCAGAAATTTATTATATTTTAAAAATTTTAAATCCTTGTAGTTAATTATAACTACAATATCATTTTTTGTGAACCCAGATCACATGTACCAATATACTTATAAGGATGCAATACTATGTTAATTTACTTTCTGAACCTTCTAATGAACTCTGGAGTCCTAGTATGGTGCTGTAGAATAAATACTAGACCACTAACCACAAGATTGGCAGTTCAAACCCACCAGCCTCTTCAGAAATCCTATACCAGGTTGCTATAGTCTGAATTGACTCAACAGCACATAACAACCACAACAATGCACTCTGGTCAACCCTGTCATAATCATCCAATTACAATGATACTTCAAATCACGTGGTTTTCTCTGCACATACTGTTGCTTTCATCGCTGCTGGTGTTTTTATCGCTGCTGATTTTGACAAATTTTCTGGTGTTATAGCTACAGTGTTGTGATAAGAAATAATCATGAACCTATAGCAATAACTTTTGAGAATGAAGTTGTAACTAAAGGGAAATAAGGAGACAAGTTTTAAAGGCTTCCACTCAGTTACTAAAGTTATAATTCAATATAAAAAGATTGTACAAAACAATTTTGTTGTTACTCTTCATATAATCTAAAAAATATTACATTTAAGCAATTTATAAATATATTTATCATATACTATATTCTATTATCAAAATTGATAGTAAACATTACTAAGGATCCTGTATGGTCTGGTATGGGAGCAAGAGACACCATAAACTACCAAACTTGTGATCTCAACTCTAGTTTGACACACAGACTTCAGAGAGAAGAGTCTTGTGGAAGTGAAGGGGTTTAGACACTTTTCCTCAACTTTACCAGGAAAACTTCCATCTCTGGATCTTTGCTTAAGCTCTCCTCCCAGTCTCTTCTGTTTGTGTAAGTCCTCTTGCCTCCAAGTGGCCTCTTAAGTGCCATGTTTTCTAAATATCCCTTTTCAATATTCCTTTCCCTCTTGCTTTGGTGATGTTCTGTTCTTCTGAACTTTTGTGTCACTGTCTGGCTCCATTATTGTATTTGTCTCCTAAGGTTACCACAATAAAGTACCACAAAATAAGTAGCATCAAACAACAGAAAATTATTTTCTCACAGTTCTAGAAGTTAGAAGTCTGAATCTAAGGTGTCAACAGGGCCACGTTCTTTCTGAAGGCTGTGAGAGAAGACCTGTTCCTTGTCTCTTGTTGTTGTTGTTGTGTGCTGTGGAGTTGGTTGTGACCCTGCATAGGGTTTCCGAGGCTGTAAATCTTTACAGGAGCAGAAAGCGTCATCTTTCTCCCACGTGACAGCTGGTAGTTTCGAACTGCTGTCCCTGAGGTTCGCAGCCCTATTCGTAACCACTGCACTTAGCTTCTGGTATTTCCTGATAATCTTTGGCTTATAGATACATCATTCTAACTTCTGTCTCCATCTTCATATGACCGTCTTCCCCGTGTGTGCCTACCTGGCTATCTGCTTCATTATTATAAGGATACCAATCATTGAACTTAGGGTCCATCCTAATCCAGTCTGACTTCATCTTAACTCGATTTTATCTGCAAAGACCCTATCCCCACGTAACGTCACATTTAGAGGTACTGGAGTTAGGACTTCAACATAGCTTTTGATGGGATGGGGGAAAGAACATGATCCAATCTATAACAAATCTATGAGTCAGTTCTGACTCAGAGCAACCCTGTATAGGATTTCTGAAGAGTAGCTGGTGGGTTTGAACCACCTACCTTGCAGTTCAAACCAAACTTGTAGTCCAGCGCATTATCCTGCAGCACCACATCAGGACTCCAGGGATCTTTTAACCTCTCAATAAATATCTTTGCTTCCCATTGCAAGTAACAGACTTACACCAACTTAAAGAATGAGAGAACATGTGATAAAAGAAATTTGAACAGGGGCTCCATTATGACATGAAGACATGTTCTATCTCTCCACTCTACTTTCTTCAATGCTGGCTTTGTCTTAGGCTGGTTCTTCTCATGGCTACATAATGTTTGTGGCTTGTCTAAGACTCATAGTCAGAGAAAGACTCAGAGGCGTAAAAGTAACACTTATTTCACATTTATTTTCTAAAGAACAGGACACCTTAACCAAGGTCCCCCAGTGGACATCTCTTTGTATTTTATTGGCCAAATTAAATCACAACCCCCTACCTCAACCGATCCCTGGCAAAGAGAACATGATTCTCTCAGAATAATCATCAAGAGTGGAATCTATATTAGGGCATCAGGTCTAGTGACCACCGTAAGTCAGGGCGATTTTGTCTCAAGGTTGTCTAACTTTCTCAAAGCAAATTCAAGTGGTGATTTTTAATATTTACTTGGGCATTATATCTATAATGACAATGCTCACTCTTGACATGCTACAAAAGAAGCCAATGTGTGTGTTTACCCCATATATATGTGTGTGTGTGCATTTTTTTTTATGAAAAAAAAAAATCTAATAAACTCACCACAAGTTTTCCTATCACCATGATCGATAAAAAGACAATAATACACAGGTAACCATTAGTTGCTTGCATACATTCCCACATGCTCTCAATCCATTCCCCGCAGAGGATGCGGAACACCACCAGGAAGGAGTGGTAGAAATCCTCCATGTGCCAGCGCCGTAAACATGAAGATGTTGATTCATTACAGTTAAGCCTTTGTGCTTTGAATTTGGAGCCAAAAAGCTGCATGCCAACTACTGAGAAAATAAAGACAACGATACCCAGCACTACAGTCAGATTCCCAAGGGCTCCAAAGGAGTGCCGAATGATCTTTATCAGAGTGTTTAAAGTTGGCCAGGATTTGGCTAACTTGAAGACCCTCACCTGTGAAAACAAATAAGATACAAAAATGGAAGAAAATCCAGTTAAAGACAAATTTCATCTCCCTCATGACAATGTTCCCAAACCAAGCATTAATGACTTTCAAAAATATTTTCAAGGTTAGATGCATCCTGAACACAGTTACCAACTCCTTGTCTCAATCAAATACTCACCTATATTGACTCTTGGTTTTAAAAATGGAAATATTTTGTTCTAACTTTTCAAAGTGATAACATTTTGGAATCATGTATGCATCATATGTAAAAAAGAACGCTACTGAATCCTATACAATATACTTGGAGTCACCAAACTATAGCCCATGGGCCAAAACTGGTTGCCTGCTGCCTCTTTTGTGTGCTCCTAAAACTAAGAATGCTTTTTATATTTCTTAACAGTTGAAAAAGAATGAAAAGAAAAATGATATTTTATGACACACGGAAATTTTAGTGTCCATAATAAAGTTTTCTGGAACAGAAAACCCATTAATTTACAAATCCCTCTGGCTGCTTTTAAAGAGTCCTCCTGGTAGCATAGTGGGTTACAAGTTGGGCTGCTAACCATGAGATCAGTAGTTCAAATCTCCATGGGAGAAAGATGAAGCTTTCTGTTCCCATGAAGATTAACAGCCTTGGAAACCCTAAACAGGGCCGCCATGAGCCAGAACAGACTCTATGGCACACCACTACCACCATGACTGCTTTTAGGTCCCTGAGTTGTACAAACAGTTTAGTTAGCTTGACCACTAATTAGAAGGTTGGCAGTTCCAACCCACGCAATGCACCATAGGAAAAAGGTACAATGATTTGCTTTGTAAAGATTAGAGCCAAGAAAACCCTATGGAGCAGTTCTGCTCGCAACATCTGGCGTCATCATGACTTGGAGTCTCCTCAGTGATAAAGGGTCTGCTTTTCATTGGTATGGTTGCTTGTGCACAGCAATGACAGAGCTGAGTAGCTGGAACAAGGACTGTATGACCTATAAAACTGAAACTACTTATCTGGCCCTTGACAGAAAAAGTTTACCCACTCCTACATGATATAATTCAGATCACACATTGGAATCTAAACTTCATAACGATGATGAAAGTAATACGATGTTTTGCACTAAGAGAAAAAGGCACCCAGCAACCCAGTGTAAGTACATATTTTCCAAATAGAAACTTTCTCCATGGAACTTTAGAGATCCAATAGGATCAATATCCTAAAAGAAAACAGTAACCAGTTCCCTAGGTCATTGCTTATATTAACTTTCAATGTAAATGGATAGTTTCTTTCCAAAGCACAATCCTGTTAAGTGTCAACTATTTGGTGGCAAGAATGTTGCAGATCAATAAGACTTACATCTAAAGAGAAGACCCACCATTGTCTACTCAGAGCAATGTGAGGGTGGGCTAGGGAAAACTGAGGTTCTAGTCTTTCATATGTACAATGTCACAAAGTACACATGATACCTTAGAGCATGGCTGTGCTAAGTCTCAATAAGGTAAAGCAATGGAATTATGCTCATGCAAATGTCAATAGAACCTTAATTTAATAAACACACACACAAATTTGCCATCAAGTTGGTTTCTATTCGTTGGGACCTCATGTACTGCAGAGTAGGTCTATGCTCACCAGCATTTTCAACGCCTGAGTTTTTCAGTAGATCACCAGGCCTTTCTTCAAAGGTGTCTCTGGCTAGGTTTAAGCTGCCAACTCTTTGACTAGTAGTCTACTGCTTAACCATTTGCCCCACCCTAAAAAATAGTAGTAGTTTACTACCACCTGACCTTGAGCAGGATCATCTCCCACCATCAATGGGTATAAAATGTACATTTGGGTAACAGTATTGAATGTCCTATGTTTAGAAATCATACCCGTGCCAAAAAAAAAAAAAAAAAGCAGTAAGTATCTTTTCACGAAGACAAAGATTATCTTGGCCTTTTCCTAGTCCCCCTTTTAGGTGTGAAACCTCTATCACTTTCTCTCCATACTTCTTGGTGGGCGGGTCTGTGATACCCTATTTGACATCATGGTCATTTTCTGACCCTGTCTTGAACCACTTCTGGACTGAAAATTCCTTAAAACAGTGCTTCCCTCATCTTTGTACCTTCCCCATGTCAGGGACTCTGCAAAGGCCAGCAGAATGCCTCCAAACTAGTGGAATGGAAAGAATGGGGACCCGCAGCAGTGAGGAGAGACCCTGCTGTTTGACAGCACCTGCTGGCTTCACTTGGTCTTCACCAACCCTAGTGAGGTTAGAGGTGAGGTCACCTGGCTCACAGCTTCATGTAGGGATAGAGTATTGGTGGGGTCATGCACAAAGCAAGGACCAGAGTCTACACAGGTACACAATTTTGGCTCCAGTTGCCTAAAGGGCATTCCACTAAGAAAGATTCCCTGGAACGTCCCAAGGTTATTAAAGACCTGGATGGGAATAGGGATGCAGTTAAGAGTCTGGGGACTTCTGGGGATGAGTCAAAGCTTAGTCCAAAACAGTCATTCAACTCACTCAAGACACTTCAATTTAAGCAATTAAATTATGCATTAAAATAAGAAAGAACCTTACCACTCTGAAGGAACGGAGGAATGACCAACGTGGGTTTAACACATCTACAAAACTCAGAAGCGCAACAATGCAGTCAAAAATGTTCCAGCCTCGTTGAAAATAATGGTAGGGATCAAGTGCAATGATTTTTAGACACATTTCTGCTATAAAAATGGCGCTGAAAACCTACGAATGGACAAAGAAGAATGAGAAAAGGAAGCTACCTCCCTTTGGAGACACACTTTTAAGAATGGTCTGAGGGAATTACAAATGTTTCCAAAAAATCAAATTTATTCTTAAGGTTGATACAATATATTCTAAAGATTATTATCTCAAAAGTCCATGAAACAAAAATGTGAGTGTTGTAGCATGACATTCAACAACCTTTTCTCCTCTCTTCTCTCCTTACTCCCATGGTGTTCACGTCAATGGTACCAAAATCTCAGACATCAGGATGGAAAAGGAACATACTTTCCCATCCTGTTGAAAACAGGGCACAACTTGCTTCTTAAGAGATGGCAGGATGGGAGAAGTGCCTAGAAATTCCATCTCTGAATTCTTTAAAAATGATTAAAGGTTGGGCCCAAACGTTGCAGACCGTCCAAACCATAGGCTTGGAGGATCAGACTATAGCTACCTAGCAGACATAGCAAACTGTCCCTCATCTGATTATTCAGTATGCTTGTTAGTAATTCCATACATGAGCCCTGGATATCCACAGATAAATGTAAAAACCTTCCCTAAAAGCCGAGACTGTAAATTCCAAGAAGGCAAAGTTTTTCCTCAAAAAAAAAAAAAAAAAAAACTAAAGTGGATAGAGAGAAATACTTTTAACTGATGGTATATGGAGGGGATTATAATCAATGTAATGAAACAAGGTATATGAATGGTTGAATGTGAAACTGATGATGTGCCCTGTAAACTTTCACTCGATCCACAATAAAAACCTTAAAAAAATTAAAGGTTGCTATTTTCCATAAACCGGAACCCAGGAGTTTACCTGACTGTAATAACAGGAGTTCTGGTGTGGTGCTGTAGAATAAGCACTGTACCATAAGGTCAGTTTGAACCACAAGGTCATCAGTTGAAAACCCACCAGCAGCTCCTCAGAAACCCCATGCATTGGTGCTATGAGTCAGAACCAATTTGACAGCACTTCACAACAACAACATGCATTCCAAAACAGGTGTCATTATTCATTACACCTCAACAGCTTGTTCTGAAAATAAATTAAAATAGAAAAGGGTCTCAGCAGACAAGCAGTAGCAGCAGAGACAGTGGCAGAGGTGATGGCACAGTGAGGCTAGGGCAGCTGAGGACCCTAGGCCCATGGTCTGAGAAAGACTGTGTTCCTACAGGCAGGAGGATGGGTTGCAAATATGCCCTTTCAACATTTAAATGAATATATGTCTTTTGTTTTGTATGTGTACATAAAATATTTTTGCTTTGTTCATTTGTGAAAAGTAAGATGTAAAAGGGAAGAAGCAGGGTAACTGTTGTTACAGGGAGGGAAGCGTAATCATTGAGATGAAACAAAATGTATGATTGGTTGAAAGTAAGGTCTACGATCTTGTCCGTTAACCTTTACTCAATTCACAATAAAAGTACATTTAAAAAAAAAAAAAAAAGGTGGGATGTAGTGGGGGGAGGGGTATCTCAGAGTCAAGAATTTAAAAATCCTGCCAGGGACAGAAAATGTTTTTAAGCAACTCAACATGTGGGATAAATCCTAGACTGGCTATGTTTGAAGAGAGGATTAGTGAATTGGAATGTAATTCTTATAATTCACTCCAATTTCAGGCTTCATAACTCCAAAAAAAATTAAAAAGTTAATATAAAAACTTTGTTGTTGTTGTTGTTAAGTGGCATTGAGTCAGTTCCAACTCATAGTGACCCTGTATAGGGTTTCCAAGAAGCAGCTGGTGAGTTTGAACTGCCGACTTTGTGGTTCAAGCTGACCTTGAGGTCCAGTGCTTTATCCTGACCGTGCCACACCAGGACTCCATAAAAAGGGTTCTAGTCTCAAAAATATTGTCAGACCTAACACTAACCACCACAGTCTAAATAAAAGTCATTCATGATTAAATCCCCCTCATAAAAGTAACAGATTAATTTTTATTAAATAGTTAAGTGGCTTACTATTTAGGAGAAATGTGCCTAAGATAAAGTGATGTAAGTTAAAAATAAAAGAATAAGCAAAGATAGATACAAGGTATGCAAATTAAAAATAAATCAGAGGTGGTAAAGACAGTTCAAAGCTTATTGTTGTTGTTAAGTTGGTTCCAACTCATAAAGACCCTGAATAGGGTTTCTGAGGAGTGGCTAGTGAGTTTGAACCAACAGCCTTGCGGTTAGCAGTCCAGTGCATATCCTATGGCACTACACTAGGACTCTAAAGCTTATCTCCTTTTAAATGTTGCTACTGACACCTGCCCAATGCCACAGCCAGTCAGTGGTGCTTGTTCTAGGTAATGCTGCTGAACTCTTCTGGCCCCTTTCAGGTCTATCAGATACTGATTCTCTAGATGCTTTGATACCATTGGTTTGGCCAATCCAATTCAACTACTGTTTGCAGTTTCATAAGAACTCAATGTATTCCCCTGGTAACAGCAGTCCTCAAGTTTAGAGATTAAATTTCCTAGTCCAGTTCCACAGTAATCCACAAACTAATCTAATCCTGGCCGACCAATCAGACAAAGGAGGTTTAGATGCCTTCCTTGGAACTGACTTGACAATACTTAACAACAACTATACGACTAAAAGGAGCTTTGGTTAATACTGCGGGCTAAGTGTTGGGCAATTCAAATCCATCAAACACTCCAAAGGAGAAAGAGAATACTATCAGCTCCTGTAGAGATTTACAGTCTCAGAAACTCTGTATGACTTGGAATCAACTTGATGGCAGTGATGAATGAGACTACAACAAGCTACAGACAACATTGTGGAAAATGAGTATTTCAGAACACTTCATTGTGCTCATGAAGAATCTGTACATAGACCAAGAGGAAGTCATTGGAATAGAACAAGGGAACATTGAATGTTTAAAATTAGGAAAGTTGTATATCAGGGTTGTATTCTTTCACCATACTTATTCAATTTGTATGCTGAGTAAATAATCCAAGAAAATGGGTTATATGAAGAAGAATATGGCATCATTAACAACTTTGCTTGCTGAAAGCAAAGAAGACTTGAAGTACTTAATGATGAAGATCAAAGACCACAGCCTTAAATATGGATTGCACTTCAATGTAAAGAAAGCAAAAATCCTCACCACAGGACTAATAAATAACATCATGATAAATGGAGAAAAGATGGAAGTTATCAAAGACTTCATTTTACTTGAGTCCACTGTCAACACTCATGACATCAGCAGTCAAGAAATCAAAAGATATATTTTATTGGGCAGATATGCTGCACAAAACCCCTTTGAAATGTTCCAGAGTAAAGACATCAGTTTTAGTACTAAGATGAATCTGCCCCAAGCCATGGTATTCCCAATAGCCTCATAGGCATGTGAAAGTTGGACAATGACTATGGAAAACTATAAGAGAATTGATGCCTTTGAGTTATGGTATTGGAGGAGAATATTAAAAGTACTATGGACTGCCAGAAGAACAAACAAATCTGTGTTGAAAGAAGTACAGCCAGAGTGCTTCTTAAAAGCCAGGATGGAGAGACTTCATCCCTCATACTGAGGACATATTATCAGGAAGGATCAGTCCCTGAAGAAGGACATCGTGGTTGGTAAGAGGACATCATGGTTGGTAAGGGTCAGTGAATAAGAAGAAGACACCAATGAGATGGATTGGCACAGTGGCAGTAGCAGTGGGCTCAAGTGTAACAACAATTGTGAGGATGGTGTAGGACTGGACAGTATTTCACCTTTTTGTGCATAGGGTTGCTATGGGTCACAATTTACTCAACTGCATCTAACAACAACAAACAGGAAGTAAGATGTTGTGGTCCACTTCTTCAGGATTAGCTAGTGAAAACCTTTTGAATATCATCAGAACATTGCCAGAGATGAGCCCCTCAGGTTGAGGGGTACTCAAAATACTAATGGAGAAGAGCTGCTCCCTCAAAGCAGGGTCTGCCTTAATGATATGATGGAGTAAAGCTTTCTAGACCTTCATTTACTGATGAGACAACTCAAAATGTAAAGAAACAGTTACAAATATCTATTAATGGAATATACAAAGTATGAATTTAGGAAAACCGGAAATCAACAAAAATGAAATGCAGCACATAAAGATAAATATCCTAGGCATTAATGAGCTGAAATGGACTGATACTGGCCATATTGAATTGGTCAGCCATAAGATTTACTATGCCATCCATCATTAAAAAAAAAAAAAAAATTTCAAGATCTATTCTGAGGTACAATGTTGTCTATGATAGGATAATATTCACAAATCTGTGAGGAAGGCCAGTTAATATGACTATTATTCAAATCTACACACCAACCACTAAAACCAACGATGAAGAAATTTAAGAATTCTACCAACGTCTTTAGTCTTAAATTGAACAGCCATGCAATCAAGATGCATTGATTATTACTGATGATTGAAATGCAAAAGTTGGATAGCATTTGGAAAATACAGTCTTGGTAACTGAAACATAGCTGAATAGTACATAATGGAAGTTTGTAAGATCAATGACTTATTCATTGTAAACACCTTTTCTCAACAACATAAACAGTGACTCCACACATGGATCTTACCAGTTGGAATACATTGGAATCACTTTAATTACATATGTGAAAAAGGATAATGGAGAAGCTTAATATCATCAGCCAAAACAAGGCCAGAGACTGACTGTGGAGCAGACCATCAATGGCTCATATGCAAGTTCAGGTTGAAGCTGAAGAAAATTAAAACAAGTCCACAGTCAAAATACAATGTTATATATCCAACCTAAATTTACAGACCATCTCAAAAACAGATTGGACTCATTGAACACTAATGACATAAGTCACCAAAAGAGTTGTGGGGTGACATCAAGAATGTCATACATGAAGGAAGCAAAAGTTCATTAAAAAGAGATGAAATTTTTTTTAGAAGATGCAAATGGATATCGAAGAGACTCTGAAACCTGCTCTTGAATGTAGATAGCGAAAGCAAATGGAAGAAATGATAAAGTAAAAAAGCTGAACAGTTTATTTCAATGAGTAGCTCGAGGAGAAGACAAAGCAAAGTATTATAATGAAATATGCAAAGATCTGAAGTTAGAAAACCAAAAGGGAAGAACTCACTTAGAATTTCTCAAACTGAAAGAGCTGAAGAAAAATTCATGCCTCAAGTTGCTATAATGAGGAATTCTAGGAGCTCTGGTAGCATAGTAGTTACAAATCGGGCTGCGAACCTTAAGGCCAGCAGTTTGAAACTACCAGCCACTCCGTGGGAGAAAGATGAGGCGTTCTGCTCCCGTAAAGATTTACAGCCTCGGAAACCCTGTGCAGGGTCACTATGAGTCGGAACCGACTCCACGGTACTTAACAACAACAACAATGGGCAAAATATTGAATGATACAGGATGCATCAAAAGAAGATGGAAGGAATACATAGTGTTACTGTACCAAAAACAACTGGTCAATGTTCAGCCATTTCAAGAGGTAGCATATCACCAAAAATTGATGGTACTGAAGGAAGAAATCCAAACTGAAGGCATTGTTGAAAAACAGGCTCCAGGAACCGATGGAATACCAACTGGAATGTTTCAACAAGCACATGCATCTGAAGATGCATCTATGCTAAGAAATGTGGAAGATAGCTACCTGAACTGTCAACTGGAAAAGATCCATATTTGTGTACATTACGAAGAAAGGTGACTCAACAAAATGTGAAAATTATTGAACAATATCACATGCAAGTAAAATTTTGATGAAGATACCAGTTTCAACAAGGAGTGCCAGAGGTTCAAGAAGGTTCAGAAGAGGACATGGAACAAGGGAAATCATTGCTGAAGTCAGATGGTTCTTAGCTGAAAGCAGAAAATATCAGAAAGATGAATACTTGTGTTTTATTGACTATACAAAGTCATTCAACTGTGTGAGTCATAATAAACTATGGATAACATTGTGAAGAATGGGTACTCCAAAACACTTCATTGAGCTCATGAGGAACTTGTACATAGACCAAGAGACAGTCATTTGAACAGAACAAGTGGTATAAAATTAGGAAAAGGTGTGCATCAAGGTTGTATCCTTTCACCATAGTTACTTAATCTGTAGACTGAGAAAATAATCTGAGAAGCTGAACTATATGTAGAAGAATGCAGCATCAGGATTGGAGAAAGGCTCATTAACAATCTGTGATAGGCAGATGACACAACCTTTCTTGTTGAGTGTGAAGAGGACTTGAAGCACTTACTTTTGAAGATCAAAGAATAGAACATACAGTCTGTATTACAATCAATGTAAAGAAAACAAAAATCCTCACAATGGGGCCAATAAACATCACGATAAATGGAGGAAAGATTGATGTCAAGGAATTCATTTTACTTTGTTCCACAATCAGTGTCCATGGAAGCAGTAGTCAAGAAATCAAACGATTTATTGCACTAGACAACTCTGCTACAATAAGCCACTTTAAAGTATTAAATATCAAAGTTATCACTTTGAAGACTACCGTGCATCTGACCCCAGCTATGGTATTTTCAATTGCTTCGTGTGCATGTGAAAACTTGACAATGAAGAAGGAAAACCTGAGACAAACTGATGCCTTTGGATTATGATCTTGGAGAAGAATATTGAAAGCACCATGATTGTCTTAAGAACAAACAAATCTGTTGTGGAAGAGGTATAGTCAGGGTGCTCCTTGGAAGCGAGGATGGTGAGTTTTCATCTTATTTACTTTTGACATGTTGTCAGGAAGGACCTGTCCTTGGAAAAAGGACATCGTGTTTGGTAAAGTATGGGGTCATCAAAAAAGAGGAAGACCCAAAATGAGATAGATTGACACTGGCTGCAACAATGGATTCAAATATAACAACAATTGAGAGGACTGGGTAACACCAGGCAGTGTTTTGTACTGTTGTATAGAAGGTCACTGTGAGTTGGAGCTGACATGATGACACCTAACAACAACACTATATATATACTCATTGCCACTGAGTCAATTCTGATTCATAGGGATCCTACATTGGGTTTCTGAGGCTATAAATCTTTATGGCAACAGAAAGCCTCATATTTCTCTCACGGAGCAGTTGGTGGTTTTGAACTCTTGACTTTTTGGTTAGCAGTCCAACACTTAACCTACAATGTTACTAGGGCTCCTTTATATATGTATACAAATGTGTGTGTCTATATATCCTGAAGACACCCTGCAATGCTGAAAATTATATCTATTCATCTTAGCTGGTAGGACCACAAGAAATTAGTAATTAGTTTCTTCTTTGTATTTCCTTTCTTTGTATTTTTCTTTAAAAAAAAAAAATTTAAACATACTGCTTTTAAAATGGGGGAAATGAAATAAAATTTTCAAGAAGAAAAGGCTAGATATTATAGTAGGATTTTTAGTCCATTAACCCACTAGCTGTAGAACAGCCAATGGACAATTCTTTGTTGTTTCTGGTACTTGGGGAACTGATTTTCCCTTGAGAAAAATGCCTTTCATAGGAACCATGAATTAAAGTAAACAGTACTCTACATCCCTTCTCCCTACTCCCTGCCATGGAAAAAAATGCATCACTTGCAGCTGCCCAGTCATGACTTGCCTTTCAGGGAGAATAACACCTAGCAATGAGGGCAACTAACAAAACATCAGGGACAACCACATTCCATAGGGCACCATGGTACTCATTACTGTGGGCCTTTGAATATGGTTAATATTTTCAGAATTATCCCAAATAACTGACCTTTTGCCTGCTTACCTCATATCCATTTGATGACTAAAAAGGCTCTTTAACCTATTAAAGGACACACACAGTGTCTAGATGGTGGGTCATCCTGGAAAATTACTAAATAATAAAAATGAACTGGGTAAAAATAAAGTCATAACAAGTCATCATCCCTTTCTACTCCATTTAAGAGGGCCAAAGACCTAGGTTAGGTTAGGCCACTTTCCAGTGTTTAAATTTTGAAAGACTCAAAATTCATATCTTGAAATACACTTCATATTTTTCAAAACTCTAAGGTTACCTGATTCCCTGTAAACAACATCTTCTCAAAGCTTTCATTCTTTCCGTGATGGTCCATGGCCAAGAAGACAGTGTTGACTATGATGCAGATAGTGATTGCTAGCTCAGTAAAGGGGTCAGTCATCACAGTTCTCAGCGCCTTCTTAAAGCATACCCATTGAGGGCAACAGTCCCATATGAAGTACTTGGATGCCAGGTTTTCCCCACATGGGAGGCAAGGTTCCTGTGATTTTTCTTGCTCTAGAGAAGGAGAATGAAAGTGTTTGAGAGTTATCGCTGAGCCAGTCTGGCTGCTATTTAGCCGAGAGCATTCTTTTCTCCCTCTACCTCAGTCTCTCTTATTACACAACATAGTCAAGGAGAGCACTGACTTGTGCTTCCAGAATGATTTTCCACCCATCACCGTGCATCAGAGACAGTTTCCCACATACAACTATCATGTGATATAGTCAGATAAATCATATTTTTACTGACCATGTAGGAGCTGGGTTGCACTGTTAAAAATATAGATTGGGAAGTCAACATTTGACAAGTGATGAGCCCTTAAGAGGGATAGACACACCCCCAAGTAATGTTCAGTCAAGACAGACCAGAGTGATGGCTTCTTACTGGACTCAGAGGAAGAAGAGATATTTGGGCAAGGACAACTATAAGCACTGAAACAAAGCCAGGCACTCTCTCAGCTGACTGAGTTCAGGCTGTAAAGCAGCTGCATCCCTGGCACCTTTTCAGGGACTCATACAGCCCATTATATTATGCAACTAGTCTCAAGAATGCTAAGAAACCCATTTGACCCCACTCTTGAATGAACCTGAGCTCTGCCCCTCAAGACCAAAGCCTTAGTTGGGTCCTTGTTACCTGCCATTAAACAGCTGATTCATATGATTCTAGTCTTTCTACACATATTCTTATCAGATTCCTGATTCCAACTTTGATGACAACTGCTACCTTCTGGAAACTTCTATGCTGTCTCTTCTTGGACTATCACTGTCACTGAAACCTCCAATGACAGTCTGACCATCATAAGAACCTGGTCCTACTCATCTGATGTCTACTAGCTCACACTTCCCAAGTGCTGACCCAGAGTTCTCCCACAGGGAAGGGCCACGTCTTCCAAGTCTCTTTGTTTAAATGCTTTCAGGAGGCGCAGGAAGCCACTCTTTGCAGGTAGGTTCAGTGGGTTGGTTCCAAAAAAGCCCCCTTTGCAGAGGGGCTGTGAGGGGACAGGAAGAGAATGTAATGACACTGAAATTTCGCTTACCCTGCATAGTGATGGTAAGGATGCTTACAGCACTCAGAGCCCTCTGCCTTTGTAAGGGGTCTTTGTGTTCATCAAAGTGGTCCACTGATAGATTCTGGGAGAGCCGTTTGGTTTGCTCCAGGAGGTGTGGCTGTAAGACAAGAAACGTGGACTGTCTGAGGGCAAGGGTTGCCTTTCCTCAAAGCTTCAATACCATGTAAAGATGCTCAGTATGTTATACATGTCAACTCACTTCATCTCCACAAAATGCCACGTGCTCAGTTTTCTTATTTCATATTCAATAGATTAGAGAACTATGCTTTAACTAGTCATAATTCATATTTATGCACATTTCTAGAGTCCTGGGTGACCCAATTTGTGCTTTACTACTAACAGAAAGGTTGGCAGTTTGAACCCACCCAGAGCCACCACAGAAGAAAGCCCTGGACATCTGGCAATCTATTTCCGTTAAGATAAGCAAGAAAACCCCAAGGAGCAGTTCTACTCAGTAACACATGGGATCACCATGAGTTGGAATCAACTCGACCACAACAGGTAAAACCATTTTTTCCTCGACCCATTGAAATTCTACTCCCTCCATCCATTACTCATTGTCAACAAAGAGCAAACAAAATTTTTATAAAAGCTAATGAGCAATGGCTCAGGGTATGATGCAGTAAAAAGCTTAGTTTGCAAACAATGTTTGTGAAGGCTAAAAGTGAGGGATAAAACTAGAAAGAATAGATTTTAAAACAGTCAGTAACTAGTAACTAAAAAGAACACGCAAAATAAATACCACAAGATCTATATAAGAAACCTCAAACATGTCCTTAGGCTCTGCCCAAGAACCTAATGATTCTTATGTTACCTCTAATTCTAAGGAGCTCTGGTAATGTAGTGGTTACCAATTGGACTGTGAAGCACAAGGTCAAAACTACCAGCTGTTATGTGGGAGAAAGATGAGGCTTTCTGCTCCCGTAAAGATTTACGGCCTCGGAAACCCTGTACAGGGTCACTATGAGTCGGAACCGACTCCACGGCACATAACCACGAACTACCACGATGGAGATTAAAGGACATAAACCTTCAACTACCCAGAAAACTCAGGTGTCCATAATGGCATCTTTTCCAAAAAGTTCTGACCAGCCAGAATCTCAGTGGGAACTATCTCTTAAACTAATCTAAAAGCAGCCTAAAGGCTTCCTACAGCTATCCCCTGTTCTAGTGCAAGGAGAAAGACATTTTACATTGGCTTTCTAAGTCTTTGCCTATTGTTCTGTGAAACAAAGAGACACTTAGAAGATCTTTCTATGTCCCATCTCATCAGTATGCTGTGATCTAATGGTAATGAAGTCTCAGAACCTTCGGGGATCTTTGGGAATACTCCCAGAGGCCCTCTCCCCAGTAAATTCTCAGGTATGCATACCTGCCTTCTGCCCACACCATCTCTCCCTTTTATCACAGAAAGCAGATCCAGTCACCATTTCCTGGCCTGTTACATCAATATTTCCCTCTTTTCTGACTTCTCTCTTCACAATTAAAGTATGTCATACACCTCCTACCATAATGATGGGATGGTTCAAATGGTTGACACACTCTTAATACACTCAGCTGCTATCCAAAAGGTTGGTGATTCCAGTCTACTTAAAGGTACCTAGTAATTCAGAAAAAAGGCCTCATAATCGGCTTTCAAAATACCAGCCACTGAAAACCGTATCTCTGAACTGCTGCCATGAGTCAGACTCAACACCATATCAACTCGTTTTATTTTCTTCCTACTTCTCCCTCTACCCTACATATCCAGCTGCCTACTCAGTATCTCTGCTTATATTCCCATAAGCACATCACAAGTGGCATGTCCCAAAGTGAGCTTTGCCACCCACAAAATGTGCTCTTTTCCTGTGAGTTACCCTCCAACAACTCAGCTACACAAACCATTGTTATTGTTGTTGAGTCTCTTCCAACTCATGTGAACCCATGACTGTTACATAGGGTTTTCAAGGCTGTGACCTTGAAAGAAGAAGATCGTCTGAGCTGCCTCTAATTGCGCTTGAAATATCAACATTTTTAACAGCAGTCAAAAACAACCATTTTTGTCATCCAGGGACTCCAACCCATAAACCTACATTATCCTCATCCTCTACATGCAATGATTTGACTGGAATCTAGTGATTGATCTTCATCCTCTCTGCCGTGGCCTCAGTTTAAGTCACTACAGCTTTTTACTTATGTTACTTCTGCTGTTGTTGTAGAGTGCCACTGAGTTGGTTCCGACTAACAGTGATCCTGTATAAGGTTTCCAAGGAGCAGCTGGTGAGCTTGAACCGCTGACCTTGTGGTTCAATCTGACCTTGCAGTTCAGCGTATTATCCTGCAGTACCCCACCAGGACCCAGGGCTACTGTTGTTGCTGTTGTTAACTGCCATCGAGTTGACTCTGACCCACAACGACCCTGTATAGGGTTTCCGAGGAGTAGCTTGTGAGCTTGAACCACCGATCTTGCAGTTCACATGACTTTGCAGTTGGACGCATTAGCCCACAGCGCCACACCAGGACTCCTGGGCTACTGTTACAATCTCTTAGTTGATTGCTTCCATCCTTGCCCTCCTCCAGTACCTTCTCTTCAGTACATTCAGGATGACCTTTCAAATATGCAAGTCTGGCCATACCATTCTCTTGTTTAAGAACACTTTTCTGCAGCAGATGCCATTAGATGCCCTGTTTATATTTCATTGGCCTTATCTAAGGCTTTCTCTGGTGGCCTATGTCCCATATCGTAGTGCATAGCAAGCCAGTACAATTAATGTCTCTGACTAGACACAAGTCTTGAACCAATAATGGATCAAAGTGCATATATAAATTCTCTAGTGCCCTCACTCCATAAGAATTAAACTCCAACTACCTTCAATGGTAACTGGGTTGATACTGTACTTTAATTGGTCACCTTCCCTTCCACATATCACCTCCTAGGATCACTACCCCAATGAGCTCACACATTTCAGGGTTCACTTCTGAAGGAACACACATAAACTAAGACATTACCTCTGCTCTGTTCTCCCACAGTCTGTCATCACTCTGAATAGTAATGGTATTGTTATTGCTGTTGTTAAGTGCCATCAAGTTGGTTCAAACTCATAGTGACCCTGTATAGGGTGTCCAAGGAGCAGCTAGTATATATTAGTGTGACTTCTTCATTACTCGTATATTCTGTGAAGTTGGAACTCAGTCTATGTATACATCTCCACATACTCCAGCTTCCCCAGTGCCAAGCAGATAGTAAACAGTCTATACTAGTTGCTGTGGTGTTGATTCTAACTAATGTTTATCCCACATGTGTCAGAGCAGAAATGTGGGGTAGGAGTTTCTATGACTAGGATCTTTTAGAAAGAGATTGCCAGGACTTTCTTCTGAAGTGCCTCTGGGTAGATTCCGACTACTAGTCTCTCAGCAGCCAAGTCCACAATCAATTAGGTCACCCAAGGATTCCTTAGTAAACACAGTAAACACCCTTAACGAGATGTTAGTAAGTAGATGGATTGAATGGATAATTAAACAAAGGAGAGCGATTGGGGAAGTGTTGCTTAAAGTAAACCCAGTTGATGAGACTTTGGAAATAGAGAATGGTAAAGGTTGCACACATGGAGAATACAATTAATTTCCCTGAATTATACACATCAATAAAAATGGTTGAAATGGCAAATGTTTTGTTAAATGTATTTCACCACAATTATTTTAATGTATGACTGAATAGTTATGCAGAAACATCAAAGTATGTATTAATGAATGAATAGGAAAAAAATGACTATGTGATTAGATCTATCTTTATACTTATTAGTTTAACAGGCAGATTTCCCCCTCAGAGCAGTTCTATTATTAACCTCTTAGACAGATGCTTACCGTTTTCTTGGAATCTTCATCCGAATCAGATCCTGAAGCCTGGTCTTTTCCAGACCTTCTCAAAAAGGACTTCCTGTTTTTTTTACCAAAGAGCTTTCTCTTCTTTGGGGAAAAAGATGATGCTTCAAGGGAATTAAGTGAACTTCTGTCAATTCCCATGGCAACCAGAGCCTTAGAAAGTACACACAGCCAATTAATAAACAGGTTAGACCTCCCCATAAAACACTGCCAGGACCCCAAACTTAGCAAGCATGCTCTCCTTTCTTCTGGTAGCATTGTACCAGTTAGATTGCTCATCACCTAACTGGTACAAGTCAGCTTTATCATTATTTATTTGGGAAGTGGGGATATGTCCCATTTTTCATGGAGATTGCAGCCCTCAAAAGTAGCAATGACACTTTCGTATCTCTGTCTCACTCAGGATTAGCACTCACACTGCTAGGAGCTGGGCCCTCCGAAAATGTTTATATCTGATGTTGTAGGGTGTGGACTTATTCTGATAAATCCCGATGGGGAACAGAATGGAATATAAAGCATAGTCCCTGCACTGAAAATCTGACAACTGAGTTAGGAAAATGAAAAGATTCCAGAGAAATCATTCACATCATTTATAAATAAGACAGGCAGTTCAAGAAGGGAGAGATGATCACAGGCTATCATTTCTAGAACCATCATTATTGCGTTTTCAAACCCTCTCAAACAAAAGTCTTGAATGTTTCTGAATTTCCACAGAGTTGAGCTGAACCTGGATGAATATACAATGGATAGTTTTATCCTCTATCCATAACTAGATTAAAAAGCCCAGACTTTAGAAGGTCAAAAAAGAGTATCAGGACCAAGTTTCCCTGTTCTTTAGATCCTTGTACCTAGACATCTTTGTGAGACATAGCAGTATAACTAAACTCTCAGAAAACCATCCACACAGAAAGACTCACATGGCAGAGCCTCTGGTCCCATGACTTCTGGGTCACCTTTGAGGAGACCCCCACTGTCTGACCCTACACGTTCCTACCTCCTTCTCCTCCTTTAACAGCTGCTGGGCTTCCTGAAACATCTTTTCCTTGGCCTCCGTCTCAGCAATTACATTTCTGTTCTGCTCCTCATAAGCCATGGTGACAACAGCCAGAGTTAAGTTAATCAGGTAGAAAGAGCCCAGGAAGATGACTAACACGAAGAAGAAAACTGAGTAGAGTCCACTGGTGCGCAGGGTCTGAAAGGACAGAACATATGCTTGGGTCTGAAATCTTCCTTCCACAGAGTTCTTCCCCAGCACTGTGGTTCCCTCCGTAGGGCAACCCTGTGCAATAATATAAGGATGGGTCAGCTGACCACAGCATCATCTGCAGCCTGTACAGCCACCAGGGTCTCCTAGTACCTCTCAGTGGGGAGATGCCTTCCACAAGTACACATGGAAATCTTAGACTTGAAATTACTTCCTCAATGGTATTTGCATTTAAAAAGAGAGAGAACAATGTTTTAAAGTTCTAAAGTTCTAAAGGTGGAACATCAGGCAAAAGGAAATCTAAAGAGAGGCAATTATTTCTAGGATGAGTAGTTTTGTTTTATCCCTCACTTTTCTTCCAAATGTCACATTAATAATTTTCTTGGAATTTCTAACAAAACTTCTAAAGCAGAATCCAACAATTACAATTCTTAAATATAGAGAACAGATGACATAGATAGAGTAGAGATGGTAGGTGTCTTAATTACCTAGTGTTGGTTTAACAGAAATAACACAGGTGGGTAGTTTGAACAAACAGAAATTAATTCTCTCGTTTAGGAGGCTAGAACTCAGAGTTCAGGGTCCCAGCTCTAGGGGAAAAGCCTTCTCTTTCTGTGGTCCCTGAGAGAAGTTCTTGTCTTCATTTCTGTTCCTCTGTTCCTCCTTGGTGATCTTCATGTAACATCTGTCTTTCCCCATCTGTGCTTTCTTGCTTCTGTGACTAAACTCCTCTTTTTATACAGCGAAAGGGATTGGCTTAAGACACATCTTACAGTGATATGGTCTCATTAGCATAAAAAATAAAATGCTGTTCCCAAATGGGATCATATTCACAGGTTAGGATTCACAAAACATATTTGGGGGAGCGTAATTCAATCCACAGAAGTAGGTGATAAATAAGTGATAGAGAAAAAGACAGATATGTGATAGATGGATGGATAGATAGATAGATAGATAGATAGATAGATAGATAGATAGATAGATAGATAAATAAACTATAAATAGATACCTGTTGATAAAGCTTTTCCCAGGAATCTTGGGTTATAAGCCGGAACATGGCAAGAAGAGACCAGCCAAAGTTGTCAAAATTTGTGTAATTATAGTCAGGATTGTATTTGGTGTGTTCACATTCAAATGCTTCAGAACAAGAACTAGATATTGGAAAGAAGGGAACAGAGAAAGAATTATTTTCCCCACAATCCATCTTCCTTTTTGTTCTTCAGAGCATCATAGGCTCACTCAAGAAAGCCTTGGGTGAAGGGAATACTTTTAAAAGACAGTTCCCCATTCCCCCACCATCTACCAACCCTCCCAGCCCAAACCTTAAAGTGGACTTTCAATGACTCTTTCTCAAATTCATTGCTTAATAAATTGGTATTGCTACTGTTGTTAAGTACCATTGTGTCAGTTCCAAGTCATAGTGACCCTGTATAGGGTTTCCAAGGAGCAGCTAGTATAGAAATACAGAAGTATATATTTAAATATATATATATATATATATATATATATATATATATATTGTAATACACATACAGGAGCAAGCCTTGATTTTTTTTCCTGTGCCTTGTTTTTGTCTTGTAACACTCTAGCTTAGAGGTATTTCCTTATCAGCATACAGGGAGTGATTTCCTTTCCTTTCAGGACTTACAGTTCCAAGATTTATTTAAGTGATAAATATTTATGATTCACTTGTTAGCAGTTCTTTGCTCAAACAACAATTGGGCAATGAATATCTGTACACATAGGTCTTTTCCCACGTCATTAAAGCACACATCATTAAGTGTAATTATAGGCAATACATAAGAGTATGTGCTTTTGTAATTTTTAAATACGTGTCCTTTTTGTCACAAAGTATATACATATGTTGTTGTTTTGAAGTGCTGTCAAGTGAGTTCTGACCCATAGCAACCCTGTAATGGATTTCCAAGGAGCAACTGGTGAGCTTGAACTGCCAACCTTATGTTTCAAAGCAATTTTGCAGTCTGGCCCATTAACCAACAGCGCCACACTAGGACTTCACATACAAAAAAAAAAAAATCACATGGTCCTAAAAGATTTGCAATGAAAACCAACCATCCCTGCATTGCTTTTCTTAAACCAACTTCTGGTGTGGCACTCTAGAATAAGCACTGCAAGGTCGGCTTGAACCACAAGGCGGGCAGTTCAAACTCATCAGCCGCTCCTCAGAAACCCTATACAGGATCCCTATGAATCAAAACCAACTTTACAGCACTTAATAACAGAAAACTAACCTAGGAACCTTGCTGGCACTGTGGATTAGGTATTTGGTTGCTAACCAAATGCAGGTGATCCATGGGAGAAGAAGGATGTTGTCTGCACCATTCAGACTTACAGTCTCTGAAACCCTATACGGGGTAGCTAAGGAGCTCTGGTAACGCAGTGGACTGCGAACCACAAGGTCAGCAGTTCGAAACTACCAGCTGCTCTGTGGATGAAAGATGAGGCGTTCTGCTCCCATAAAGATTACAGCCTCGGAAACCCTGTACAGAGTTGCTATGAGTCGGAATCAACTCCATGGAACATAACAACAACAATAAATGAGTAGGTTGGAGTCCTGTTGTAGCTCTGTGGGATAAAGCACTAGACCACAAGGTCAGTTTGAACCACAGGGTCAGCAGTTCAAACGTTCTAGCTGCTCCTCAGAAACCCTATATAGGGTTGCTATGAATTGGAACTGATCTGACAGCACTTAATAACAGCAACAACAATGAGTAGGTTGTTGGGGTTTTTTTGTTTGGGTTTAAAAGCAAACTGGTTTCTGTCAAGTTGATTCCAATTCATGATGACCTTATGTGTTTCAGAGTACAACTACATTCCATAAGGTTTTCCAGGCTGTGACCTTTCAGAAGCAAGTTGCCAGGCCTTTGTTCCAAGGCGCCTGGGGTAGGTTTAAACAAAAGTCAAGTGCTTAACCATTTGTGCGAAGCAGGAATGCCAATCATCATTTACAAAGCCCAAATTAAACGGCTTTGAACTCTTTTACTTCCACATCTCTAAATGGTGCAATATTCATAATCATACTTGCTTGAGTTTGGGTTCTTACTGCACAACTTTTTTCATTCTCCATGCCACTTTATCACTGTTTGTTCCCCTACAGTATTTCTGTCATTCCTCATAAAGAAATACTGTGACCTATGTTAATGGTTCTGCTGGGTTGAATAGAGTTTTTCTTGTCTCTTTCCTGGTTTACTTACTCATTTTTCTGAAGCTCGTCTTCAAGCAGCTTCTTAAGGAAATTAGGGAATCTTTGATATCTGTATTCTACTTTCACAGCTGATTTATATTTTGGCCAGAAATAGAATTATATATTGAAAATAATTTTTCATTCGAATTATGAATTATCTGTTTTCTTGTGTTGCTGTTGAGAGTTCTGGTGTGATTTTTATTTTTGTTCTTTATAAGTGATCTTTTTCTCTTTGGAGAATTTTAAGATCTTTTCTCCTGAAGGCTCTAAAATGCCATGAGAACGCACGTAGCACAGTGATTTTTCATTCACTGTAGTGGGCACTTAGTGGGCGCTTCAGGGATTTATATCCTTAATCCCAGGAAAATTCTCTTGTATTATTTTTAAAATCCCTACTAAGTCAGTGGTTGAGACTTAAGAATTTATATTTATTTTCATATTCTCTTTCATTTGATACTATGTCTTCTTTTGGTTCTATGTCCTGGGCTATGTCTTCAACTTTACCTTTAATTCTATTATTGACTTTTTTATGATCATGTTTCTGGTGGATTCTTGTTTCCTTACCCTTTTTCATAACATCTTATTTTTATTTTATTTATACCTTACCATTGTAAATTTCATTGTGGATCTTATTTAAAGTTGTTAAAGCCCTTTTTGGTTCTTTGAATTCTTTTATTTTCCCTACCACCACTTTTTCTTTTTTCCTATTTCTTCATTTTGACAACATATCAATCCAAGGCTTTCTTCAGATGCCTGAAGAGCCTGAGTACGCAGTCAAATTAAATCAGACTACTAACAAGCTGACTGGGAATTTGCTGATTTGATGGGACTTAATGAGTGATAGAGTCCTGGTGTGGCGCTGTGGGTTAATTTGCCAGACTGCAAAGCCATTTAAACTGCAGGGTTGGTGGTTCAAGCTCACCAGTAGCTCCTTGGAAACCCTATATAGGGTCACTATGAGTCAGAACCGACTCCATGGCACTTAACAATGAGTGATAGAAGAAGTTCTGGTAGCATAGTGTTAACGAGTTTAGTTGCTAACCTCAAGGTCAGCAGTTTGAAACTACCAGCTGTTTTGTGGGATAAAGATCAGGCTTTCTGCTCCTGTAAAGATTTGCATCCTCAGAAACCCTGTACAGGGTCACTGTGAGTCAGAACCTACTCCACAGCACATAACAACCACCACCACCAGTGAGTGGTAGGCTTTGTTCTATAAGGCTTGAACAGGAAGAGCAGTCATTGTGTAACTTCAACAAAATTCTGTGAAGTTCCAGGGCCCACTATCCTCCAACAGCCTGCTGAGGACGAATCCACTGTGTTTCATTTTCCTCACTGCTTGGTCACCATAAAAATAGAGGTCTTTTATTTTTCTTCCCAATCTCTTCTTTTCTGGATGATTCTTCTCATCAACATATACAGGTGACCAAGTCTCTCTTAATCCTGCTCCTCCTCTAGTGTTCCTACTTCACTAGAAGTCCAGTGCTTATCCTACAGTGCCACACCAGGACCTCAGCTGTTGTTAAGTGCCATCAAGTCAGTTCCAACCCATAGAGATCCTGTATAGGGTTTCTGAGGAACAGCTGGTGAGCTTGAACCACCAACCTTCGGTTCAAACTGACTTTACAGTCCAGTGCAATAATCCATAGCACCACACTAGGTCTCCCCAGGACTCCATGTTGTTAAGTGCTGTCGAGTCGATTCCAACTCATAGTGACCCTATATAGGATTTCCAAGGAGCAGCTGGTGAGCTTGAACTACCGACCTTGCAGTTCAAACGACTTTGCAGCCTGATGCATTAGCCCACAGCACCACATCAGGACTCCCCGGGACCCCATAGTGACCTTTAATTTTTAAAAAATTGTCCAGGACATTATCCTGCATTAAGTTCTTATCACATTTCCTCTTTCTTCTATGATCAATATCAAAATCCTTGCTTGGCAGCTGCTTGGTCTCCCAACATGATGACCATGTCTGTGTCTACAAAGTGCCCTGTCAAGCATCATACTGGAAAACTCAGAAAACCTCATATTATGTCTTGTAAATTGGATCCAACCTGAACCTGTGACCATCACTGTTGGCATTAGAGAAATCTTCCCTAGGTTTCCAGATAGCATTACATCCTCTGTTGTGTCTCTTCTTCCTAACACTAATCACACATTGGAACATTTACTCTACATCTATCCTCCCAACAAAAGTCCTGCTGGTGCTGTGTAATTAAACACTCAGCTACTACCCAAACAGTTGGCAATTTGAGATCAACGTTCCAACCTGCTTCCATAAAAACAACAGCCTTAGAAACCCTATGGGGCTGGTCTATTCTGTCCAATAGGGTTGCTATGAGTCAGAATTGACTCAGAGGCAATGGGTTTGGTCTTTCAGGTCTTCCCAAGAGGCCAGTTTAAAAAGAAAGGCACTGTCTTGTTCATAATTGCGCTCCTTGGGCCTGATACAGAACTAGGCACACTGTGACCTCCTGATTCTGGTTACTGAAGAATGAAGGCAGCCTATTTCATCAGAGTGCCTAGCACATTAGTGGAATCTCTGGGCACCAAAGAAGACTGACATCTTGGAAGAAGAAAGAGTAACCCACAGGTGTACCTTATTTATTTTGTTTCACTTTACGGCATTTCACAGACAGAGCATTTTTTACAAATTAAAGGTCTGTGAGAATCCTGCATTGAACAAGTCTATTGGCATCATTTTCCCAAAAGCATGAGGTCACTTTTTGTCTCAGTGACACATTTTGGTAATTCTCATAATATTTCAATTTTTTTTCATAATGCTGGGATAATGCACTGGACCACAAAATTGGTTTGAACTGCAAGGTTGGTGGTCCAAACTCACCAGCCGTCCCTTGGAATCCCTAAACAGGGTCACTATGAGTTGGAACTGACTCAACAGCATTTAGCAACAACAATAACATCACACACATAACAGACTGCCCAAACCCATAGCTGTCAAGTTGACTCTGACTCACAGCAACCCTATAGGACACATTGGGACTGTCACATAGGGTTTCCAAGGTTATAAATCTTAATGAGAACAGACTGCCACATCTATCTCTCACAGAACAGCTGGGAGCTTCAAATCTCACGTCTTTTGGTTAGCAGCCAAGAGCTTGAACTCCACCACCAAGGTTTCTTACATTTACTTCGAAACATAAAATAAGTTAGTACTGTTTGAGAGCTGTCAACATGGCTACAAACCATAAGATGAAAACTATCTGCTATATATTTTCAAAAGGTCTACAGGTATCCTGGAGTCCTGGTGTGGTGCTGTGGGTTAATGCGCTAGACTGCAAACCCATGTGAACTGCAAGGTTGGCGGTTCAAGCTCACCAGCTACTCCTCAGAAAACCTATACAGGGTTGCTATGGGTTGGAACCAACTCGATAGCACTTAACAACAACAAGTGGTATCCTGGAGCACTACTGGTGTAGTGGGCTACACATTGGGCTGCTTATCTCAAAGTAAGCAGTTCAAATCCACCAGCTGCTCTGCAGAAAAAAAGATGAGTCTTTCTGCTCCTACAAAGATTTGTTGTTGTTGTTGTTGTTGTTGTTGTTGTTAGGTGCCATCGAGTCGGAACCGACTCATAGTGACCCCATGCACAGCAAAACAAAACAATATCCGATCCTGGGCCAACCTCACTACTGCTATCACACTTGAGTCCATCAATGCTGCCACTTGGCCAACTCATCTCGTCCGGGGTCTTCCTCTTTTTCTCCGACCCTCCATCTTACCAAGCATGATATCCTTCTCCTATGACTGTTCCCTCCTAACAATATGTCCAAAGTATGAGAGATGAAGTTTGGCCATCTTGGCCTTTAAGGAGCACTCTGGCTGCACTTCTTCCAAAACAGATCTATTGGTTCTTTTGGCAGCCCATGGCACTTTTAGTATTCTCCTCCAACACCATAATTCAAAGGTATCAATTCTTCTACGATCTTCCTTATTCACTGTCCAGCTTTTGCATGCATATGAGGTTATTGAAAATACTATGGCTTGGGTCAGGCGTACCTTAGTCCTCAAGCTGACATCTTTGCTCTTCAGTACTTTAAAAAGTTCCTGTGCAGCAGATTTGCCTAATGCAATACGTCAGTCTGATCTCTTGACTGCTGCTTCCGTGAGTGTTGACAGTTATCCAAGAAGAATGAAGTCCTTGACAACTTCAATCTTTTCTCCGTTGATAAGAATGTTGTTTATTGGTTCAGTGGTGAGGATTTTTGTTTTCTTGACATTGAGATGTAATCCATACTAAAGGCTGTGCTCTTTGATCTTCATCAGTAAATGTTTTAAGTCTTCTTCACTTTCAGCAAGCAAGGTTGTATCATCTGCATATTGCAGGTTGTTAATGAGTCTCCCTCCAATCCTGATGCCACGTTTTTCTTCATAGAACCCAGCTTTTCGCATTATTTGCTCAGCAGACAGGTTGAATAAGTATGGTGAAAGAATACAACCTTGTCGCACACCTTTCTTAATTTTAAAACATTCAGTGTTCCCATGCTCTGTTCAAACAACTGCTTCTTGGTCCAGGTACAGATTCCTCATGAGTACAATTAAGTGTTCTGGATACTCATATTTCACAATATTGTCCATAGCTTGTCATGATCTACACAATCGAAAGCCTTTGCATAGTCAATAAAGCACAGGTGAACATCTTTCTCATATTCTCTGCCTTGGAAACTCTATGCAGGGTTGCTATGAGTTGGACTGACTCAACAGCACACAACAATGACAACAGAAATGTCCTATTTGAGAGACAAATAAAGAGTATAAATGTCTTACCTGTCGCCCTTCCTACACAGTTTATATTCCGCAGAGTTACCTTTCTTTTCAAAGCAATCTAAGAAAGGAAAAGTCATACATTTCAGATTCAAAAGCACAAAAGCAAAGAGAATAGCAAATATGCCAGAAATGCTTGACAAAGATGGTTCTGAATAGTCTAATATAATTAAGGTAGTTGCCCAGAGAGGAACTTAAGCCCCCAGGAAGGGGCAAGAGAGAAGGGAATGGAGCAGGGTTAAGGGAGAAATGCCAGGAAGAGGCAGGGACACTTCTGCCATGTCTCACTTGCTTGCTCTTTAATACGTAATACTAAACCAGGATCTCCCTGAGGGGGTCAGTGAACAGGTAAAGCTCAGGGGACATTCATAACTCAAGACACACATAAACCACATATAGCCACAAGAGATTTTGGATGCATGTAGCATTGACCTCAGTGTGGAGAGGGTGGGACACAGGAAATAGTGATATTCTTGGAGAAGATACTTGATGAGTGATGCCTGAGAAGTTGGTGATGGCCTCTGGCCAATCCCTGGCATTCTTAACACTTCTGCAAAACATGATAAAGAAGGAAGCAGAGATCTAAATGGGAAAGGATGAGCGCTATCATCCTTTGTGCTACCATTGTGGGTGTGGCTTTGGGTTTTTCCTTTTCCATGGAAACCCACAAAATGAAGCAACTCACTAATAAATACATCTGCCTGCACAAGAGTCCTAGATTGGTGAAAGCATCCCTTACTCCCAGGAGGCTCTGTTCTGCATATCTGTGTGTAAATGTGGATAAATAAGAGTTAACCATATACAATGAGAAGCCAAGAAATGAAAGAGAAGTTGTTTACCTGTGTTTATAATAGTAGAGTTAGCTATACAGTCCTTCCTGACACATTTCTGGTTTAGACATCTCATGAAGAGCTGTTGACTGACCAGGGCAAAGATGCTCAGGCAAAAGAGGGTCAGGATCATCACATCAACAAGCTTCTTCACAGAGCGAAGCAAGGCCCCCACGATGACCTTTAGACCTGAGGAAGACAACAGGTGTGGAGAGGAGCCCTATTATCACATCACCACCACCACCAGACAAGGGGAAAGGGACAAGGTGGGAACAATCAGACAGCTATCTGACCTAAAAACTCTGTGCCTTAGAATCCGTGTGACAACAAAATGGTCATCCAGTCCTGGCATTGACAGTTTCCTATGCTCAGAACACTCTTCCTCATCTGCCTGTGCTCTCAATGACACCTACTGACTACTTCACTCTATTTAAAATTGCAACCTATTTTCCTTGCCCTTGGAACTTCTAATAGCCCTTGAAAGCGTTGTCTACTTTCCCTTTTTCTTTTCCATATTGCTGTTAAGTGCCGTCAAGTCAATTCTGACCCATAGCGACCCTGTATAGGGTTTCTGAGGAGTAGCTGGTAAGCTTGAACTGCCAGCCTTTGCAGTCTGGAGCATGAACCCACAGAGCCACACCAGACTCCTTCTTTTCCATAGTTTACCTTCTAGCTGGGGACATGGGAAGACAAACACAAATCAATGACTCTATTAAATAAGTACATTGTGTTGCTGTCCTATATTAGAAAGTTATATGTGCTATGGAAAATAATATATATAATTTTATTTTCCATAGTATATATCATTTTCTAATATAGGACAGGGATCTTGATATATTATATCCCAATTGGCCAGCACCATGCGTGCACATATTAGATGTACAATAAATTTCATTGAAGAATCAAATAAAGGAGAAAAGTACAGTGTGTTTTGTATTTATGTAACGACATTTTGAAATTTTTAAATATAAAAGGACATTGTTTCCAGCTAGAAGATGGTGTTGAAAGTTACAAGGACTTACCTGAAACTACTGAAATTGCTTTCAAAGCTCTGAACACTCTGAAAGTCCGCAAGGATGACACACTGTTGCTGGTGTTTGGGAAAAATGATAGAAACCTATAAAACAAAACACAGAGAGAGCTTGAACTTACTCAGTTCTGTAGCGCATGAGACATCGCCACAAAGACTAAAAGTAAAAATGTCCTTGAGACCTGTGTTTGTCAAGGCAAAATTCACAGCTTCATCTTTCCAGACTCACCTTAATCTTAAACTCTGGCAATAAACTCTCCATTGTTATGGATTATATGATGTTGTTGTTGTTGTTAAGTGCCGTTAAGTCGCTTCCAACTCATAGCAACCCAGTATAGGGTTTCCAAGGAGTAGCTGGTGAGTTTGAACCACCGACCTTGTGGTTCAAACCAACTTTGTGGTCCTGTGCTTTATCCCATAGTGTCATACCAGGACTATATGGTGATGGTGGATGATGGTAGTTGTGTGCTGTGGAGTTGGTTCTGACTCATAATGACCTTGTATAGGGTTCCAAGGTTGTAAATCTTTACAGGAGCAGAAATCCTCATCTCTCTCCCATGGAATGGCTGGCAGTTTTGAACTGCTGATCATGAGATTAGCAGCCCAACTCCTAACCACTACGCTAACAGAGCTCCTTAGGGGCCTGCTTTTAGCGAATCCTTATACTTGGACATAAGTGAAAATTTCTTGAAATACTCCATACTGTGGTGGCAACATCCATGGATAATAGAAACCAATGCAAACATTACTGACTGGTTACCATGTTCTAGCCATTAGGCAGCCAGATCTGGACGTGAACCCTGTTAGTCTGACTCCAGAACCTGTACTCTTACCTACTGTCCTGCACTACCTCTCAATGACAACAGCATCTGGCCATTGAACTTCAAATGTAAAACTCTGAAGTCAATAGCATCTACCTCAAAGAGCTACTTAAAATGTTGAATAGGAAAACATATATATATATGTTTTCCATATATGTACATGGAGTCCTGGATAGCACTGTCGAATAAGCACTGGACAGCAAGATCAGTTTGAGCCACAAAGTCAGCAGTTTAAATCCACCAGCCACTCCTCAGAAACCCTATATAGGGTTGCTGTGAGTCAGAACAACACAACATATGTACATATAAAGTACTTGACACAATACCTGGCACACGCTAAATAATGGTAGATCTGTTATTGTTGTACCGGCAACAGGACTAATCCACCACCACTCCACAGGAGACAGATGAGGCTGGCTGCGCCTGTAAAGATCTATTGTTTCCAGAGCCCTAGACAGGGTTTCTATGAATTGGAATGACTCAATGGCAGAGGCTTCATTGACTACTCAAAGGTTTTTAATTGTGTGGATCATGACAAGCTATGGACAACATTGCAAAGCATGAGTATTCCTGAACACTAATTGTGCTTATGAGGATTCTGTACCTGGACCAAGAGATAGTCATTTGAACAGAACATGGGAATACTAAATGGTTTAAAATTAAGAAAGGTGTGCAACAAGGTTGTATTCTTTTACAATACTTATTCAAACTGTATGTTGAGCAAATAATCTGAGAAGCTGGGTTATATGAAGAAAAACGGGCATCAGAATTGGAGGAAGACTCATTATCTACCTGAGATATGCAAATGATACAACCTTGCTTGCTGAAAGTGAAGAGGATTTAAAATACTTACTTATGAAGATCAAAGAGCATAGCCTTTGGTATGGATTGCATCTCAATGTAAAGAAAACAAAAATCCTCACAAGGCGGGGCTTGATGGAAGATAGGGTAGAAGTGCAGTGAAGTTAGCCATCAGCAATACCACAGAATACCATGTGAAGAGGGTTCGGGGCAGAGCTCTAAAATTCTGGACCACATTTCTAGGAATATTTTTAAAGTTTGAAGGCTTATAGCAAGTGGAATTTGTAGCGGGAGTAAGAAATCACCTATTTTTTAATCTGCCAAGCTTGGTGGTGCAGAGCCGACAACTTGGGTGAGACCAAATGACAAGACTAAGCTGGGGAACTACCCACCACGGAATAACGCCATGGAACCTCAGAGCAAACGTAGACAATACATTTTGTCGGTTTTCCTTTGTTCTGATTTTTTTTTTCCATTTTTCTTTTTGGTATCTGTTCATTACTCCCCCCCACACACACACTGTTTGTGCACCTCCATTCTGGTGACTAGAGGGGAATCATGAGTGAGTGGATATGCCCCACCCACACCACTGGTGGATTCTTCTGCCAAGCATGCGCACAGATACTTTCAGCCGAACAGCCAGCCCTGAACTGTTTTTGAATAGGGAAAAGGCCAGAACAAGGGCCATGGAGCGTGAAAGAGATTTAAAAACAAAATAGGCTGAAAATTAAATTAAATCCTTAGGTACACCGTAACAACCAACAATGGCATTGTTAAATTTGTCAGACGGCTTTGAAGGCAAGAAGTTGAAAGAGGATATTAAAGTCATACTCATGTTAGGCTACAGATTTTTTTTTTCCTCCTCTGCCTTTTCTTTGATTATAGACTACAGTATCCAACGTAGGTTTTTTTGTTATTGTTGTTGTTATACTTTTTGTTTTTTATTTGGGTTTTGGTGGGGTTGTTTTTTTTTTCTTTCTTGTTTTTTGCTGTTGCTGTTGTGCTGTTTTATCCTCCCCCTTTTACCTTTGAGGAACTTTTTCTCTCCCTATATTACCCAAGAACAGACAGAAACTGCACCCATATAGTCAAGCTAAATCACACTCTATAAAACACCAAAATCCAGGCAACAACCAATACTAACTGCCATACACCAGGGAGGCAGAAAACACCTGTGAAAGTTACTCTGGGTTAAGCAATGAGAAGAGTGAAAACGGAAGCCCACATCCTGATCACATCTACATAGAGGCAATCAGAAAGCATAAAAAATAACAAAACACACTCAATTAAGTATTAAGGCCACAGATAAACACTAAACATGTTCAAGAAGCAAAAGCAGATGACTATATCAACACATGTCCAGAAACAACATAAAATGTCTGAGATAAATTACCTAGAGGTAGACCTGGACTATATTCTGGAAGGAGGGCAGGCCTTGGAAAAGCCTGAGAAGGAACTCAGAAAAGTGATTATAAAATGTGTCAAAACGCTTTAAAATGGAGTTAAGAAAAATAAGGAAGAAGTCAGGAAAGTGCTACAGGAACAATCAAATAAGATAGATACAGCATTGGAAACAATGCAAAACCTACAGAAAGAGCTCCAAACAATCAATAATAGAATATCAGAAATAAACAATACACTGAAAGGGCAAAGGAGTAGATTAGAAGAGATGGAAGGCAGAAAGAGTGAGCTATAAGACAAAACTCTCAATACCACTAAGCTAGAACAGCAAACAGATAAAAGGGTTAAAAAATCTGAAGAAGGTCTAAGATTCATGTTGGACAATATGAAGGGGAATAACTTAAGAATTATCGGCATTCCAGAACAAGAAGAATCAAACAAGTCCACAGAGGAAATAGTTGAAGAACTATGGGAAGAAAATATCTGTAGCATCCTTAAAAGTGAAAAGATAAACATTCAAGAAACTGAATGAACCCCAGGAAGGATAGACTCCAAAAGATAATCATTGAGGCATATCATAATCAAGCTCTCCAAAATCAAAGATGAGGAGACACTCCTGAATAGAACTAGGGAAAAGAGAAGTGTTACACACAAGGGCAAGCAAGTCAGAGCAAGCTTGGATCTCACAGTAGAAAACCATGCAAGCAAGAAGGCAATGGGGTGACACATATAAAACCCTGAAAGAAAAAAACTGTCAACCAAAAATTCTTTATCCAGTAAAGCTATCAATCAAATATGATGATATAATCAAAACATTCCAGGATAAACAGAAGCTAAGGGATTTTCCCAAAGCCAACCCTGCACTACAAAACATCCTAAACAGACTTCTATGGACTGAGAACTAATAAGGACAGACAACAACCAGAGATTTGCATACGTGGCAGCACCTCTCAGAACTAAATTGACAGATGGAAGAGTTGAGAACAGAACAAAACTATAAGAACAAACTCAGAGAATCTGGGAGGTCAGTCTATGATCAAAGCAATTACAATGTAAAAGCAAGTAAACACGCAGGAACGGAAATCCAGATAGTGAGAAGATCAAGTAGATTACAGGATAAAATAGACTGTACTCAATGGAGGGAAAAGTTAATGGAATATAAGGTAACCTCAAAGAAAATTAACACTACAAAACATACCAAGAAAATGAAAATCCAAGAAGAACATGGAAATATTAAAACTATGAGGAAACTCACAAGAACAAAAAAAGCATGAACTCAACAAAGGAAGACACAAAGAAGAAAAAAAAAAGCAGCAACACCACACACACACAAAAAAAAAACAAACCATAACGGCAGCAATTAATTCATACATATCAATAATTACAAGGAGCTCTGGTAGCGTTGTTGTTGTTGTTGTCAGGTGCCATCGAGTCAGAACCGACTCATAACGACCCCATGCACAGCAGAACGAAACAATGTCCAATCCTGGGCCAACCTCACTACTGCTGTCAAACTCGAGTTCATCAATGATGCCACCCCGCCCATCCATCTTGTTAAGGGTCTTCCTCTCTTTTTCTGACCCTCCACCTTACCCAGCATGACATCCTTCTCCAGCGACTGCTCCCTCCGGACAATATGTCCAAAGTATTCTTCTACATCTTCCTTATTCACTGTCCAGCTTTCACATCCATATGAGTTTATTGAAAATACCATGGCTTGGGTCAGGCACACCTTAGTCCTCAAGCTGACATCTTCTCTTTAATACTTTAAAAACTTCCTGTGCAGCAGATTTGCCCAATGCAATATGTCGTCTGATCTCTTGACTGCTGCTTCCATGAGTGTTGATATTGAGATGAAATCCATATTTCTTTGATCTTCATAAGTAAATGTTTCAAGTACTCCTCACTTTCAGCAAGCAAGGTTGTATCATCAGCATATCTCAGGTTGTTAATGAGACTTCCTCCAATCCTGACGCCACGTTTTTCTTCATAGAACCCAGCTTCTTATATTATTTGCTCAGCATACAGGTTGA